AGCAGTTACCCAATCCAATCCTATGACTTCAAATAAATCACAAAATATCATGCCGGATCGGTCGGGGCCCGGATTAACAACCGCGCTTTCTGCTGCCGTGTCACAGGGCAGAAGTGATAAGTACGCTACTGAGACACACCAAATGAAAAAGAACAAACAAAAACAGGCCGTGTGTGACCGGCCTCAAGCAGTTGTCCCCTGGGATCTGCGGTCACGCAACCAACTTCCACGGTGTGGGCAGCCGGGAAGTAACAATCGCCCTCACAATCCGAAGTGCACACGAAACCTTACTGAAATAGGTGGAAAGAGACTCGAACTCAGAACCCATTTGAGTGAAAATGAGGTGTAGTTTTATGTACCATACAACAATCAGTTCTAATATACACCGGTGTGACTCATTGGCTTAAGCATTCCACCTGCAACCAATACGTTTCAGATTCAAATCGAGGTCCATCTACTACAGCCTGGGCAGCTGACTGGTTTAGACGAAGAACTTTGCACCGATGTGCAGCAGTTCGAGTCGCCACACTTCACCCAGCACACAAAGCAGTCCAAGTGACAAAAATAGCCGTCGTTGCTGATTGACTCTTAAAAGAACATCCCAAAGTCTCTTTAGTTCTTCGAAGCCAAATTTCAAACTTCTTTAAAACAACTCCCAAAATGAAATGAAATTTTACTTAGCGTACAAAAGGGGTGAAATGCAAAGGTGATGATGGAATACGGTGAGTAGAACTCAGAAGGTCGCAAAGAATTATCTCTTACGGACGTCGAACAGGAAAAAGGAGGGGGGGTCCAACCATTGTCCCTACTGTGGCCATCATGAAAAGTCAGTCTCACTAATAATGATTATCCTATTGCCTTTCTTGTCAAACCTTCCTGTGCATTTGTTATATTTACTTTTTAAATCCCTATCTGCATTATTAGCGCCAATCACCATCAACAGGAGGGATTTGAAACAGGTTACTTCATTCACTCATCTAGGGAGCATTGTCTCAACTACACGAGGAACGGACGAGGATATCAAATCGGGAATAAGGAAGGCCACAAACACATTCATCAACCTGAAACCAATCTGGAAATCTTCGTCACTCAGCAACATTCAACAACAAAATTCGGATTTTCAATACAAACGTCAAGTCAATCACTTCTTCTATACGGAACAGAAACCTGGCGGGTCACAAAGAATATTTTCAACAGGTTCCTGACCTTTATCAACAACTGTCTTCGCTGGCTCTATACTGAAGATCAGATGGCCGGAAAGAACAAGAACCAACAAGAAACAAACTATGGGAACAAACAAAACAATAACCAATCGCTGAAGAAATATGCAGGAGAAAGTGGAGATGGATTGGACACTCGCTGGCTGAGGAGGCCGCTGGGTGACATCGCGCGTCAGGCCATAGCTCGAGTGGGACCCGAAAGGGAAGTGGCGAGTGGGACGTCAGTGCAAGGGTGACATGGAGGAGATCGTGTGAAGAGGAACTGAAACAGTATGGACCAACATGGAGGCAGGTGAAAAGTACAGCAGAAGACAGAAGCAAGTGGAGGCGTGCAGTTGAAGCCCTATGTTCCACTAGGAACCGAAGGGAACAATAATAATAATATAAATCTGCATTATTAGATTTGGTTACTGTTTTTATTTTTATTTTTGTATGTCAGAACCTCCTACCCATTTCGTTAGTACTACATCCTTAACCCATAATTATACAAACTGACTAGTTTTCTAGTAATTATAATCCTATTTTATCTTTTCTACCCGATCTTCCTGATTATTACACATTGTAATTTCTAATTTGATCATTGGCCTGAAATATTTCTAGAACAGTGCCACCACCTATCTTATGTTTATTACACTTAGTAATTTTATTAATCTGACCTCTGACCGGAAATAATTCTGCAGCATTCTCACACACGTAATATAAATACACGAATGTACAGCCTAGTTGATGACTTCATCGAAAAGAAAATTTTCTTTGCTGCAACCGTCTTTTTAATAATTTGATGGACATAGGAGTGCGAAGAGAGTGAAGGTATCTCCGCCAATGAGAACGACTCTGTGACATATCACCAACGGTATTGAGCCATTGCTTTTTAGTGCCTTGACAACTACGGCAAGGCAGTCTACACTTATTTATGTGGCTCGAACCTACAGCTGAAAACATTAAGGGGGGGTGATGCCATGTTCTGATTTGACTGCCACTAACTAACTCCCTTCCAGTTGAATCCTATGTCAGCCAACCTTGCTTGACGAGGAATGCATAACACTTGTCTTAGCCACCTCAAATTTTGGAGAAGATGTTACGTTTGTTACGATTAATCCTAAATTTTTGATTTGCTACATTTGATTTACTGATTTCAAACAATATCAGTATTAAGCATTACAGCCACCTTTTTGTTCGATTCCTTTTTAGCTTGACAACCCACTCACTGTCTCCTGCTTAATTAATTCGATATAAATTATCATTATTTTTTTACCGGAAGACATCAGAAAGCTTTGGACACGACCAACAAATGTGATCCAATGGACCACGAAGAAAACGAACTATATTTACAAATCTCCTTATGGATAAGATTTTATTTTGATAAATCACACAGTGTTGTACAGTAATATTAACTAATGACGTTTCGAGCATAAATTATTGCTCATAACCATATCAAGTTACTCACACAACTTCTTTCCTTCATTTATATACATGTGTGGAATCGATTAGATATTGGAATAAAATTCAATATGAGATAATGTACATTCAGAAATAATAATACGAGTGTTATTGATCAATTACAGTCACATGGGAAACAAGACGAGTGTTTTTATAGTCAAAATAAGTTACTTGTTAGAATGTTGTGATGTGCTTGAGTTGAAATAGAATATTAAGATTATTTATTATTCTCTTCTGATTTGACCGGCGGTAATAATATCTTCCATATTTCTGGTATTTGTATTGAGTCATTTCTGTTGCATGTGTTAGGTGTAGACTCAATGAACAAGGATTCCGTAATGAACCTCTCTCTCCACCTACCTATGTTACGCTTTAGAATTTTAACCCTATCCCACCCTATTGTGTGGTTGTGTGTTAGTGCGTCAAGTGCAATTGCTGAACTTTTTTTAGCTAAATTCTTATGTTCTGATAATCTGACTACCCCCGATCTACTAGTTTGACCTATGTAATTGACTTCACAGTCATTGCAGGGTATTTTGTGAATTATATTATTTTGTTTAATAGGGTCAACAGGGTCCTTTAACCTACAGAGCTTCTGTCTGAGTGAGTTTGTAGGTTTGAATGCCACCCTAATATCTAATCGATTCCACACATGTATATAAATGAAGGAAAGAAGTTGTGTGAGTAACTTGATATGATTATGAGCAATAGCTTGTGCTCGAAACGTCATTAGTTAATATTATTATACAACACTGTGTGATTTATCAAAATAAAATCTTATCCATAATGAAGTTATGCTCTACCATAGTGCCCAAGTTTTATACTTATATCTATAATCACAAATATTAACATCAACTGTCACGACAACAATACCACTGGTATGTGAAAACACACAAGTAGACGGAGAGTTGACAGACAGCTTTTACTGTCTCATTCAACTATACTTGAGAGTATAGCTGTATATATATATATATATATATATATATATATATATATATATATATACATTCTAAATAATCTCAACCGACACTAAATTCACTGATAAATATAAATAGTTAACAGTCAGTAACAGTTCATCTTTTAGAAGCACTTCGCTGAACGCAAAAGTCTAGCATAGACGATGTCAGAAATTGGCAAAAAGGAACAATTCAGACTTTATTAAAGTTAATGGTTACAAAATTAATTACAGACAAAATTAAGGGCACATAAGTGTAGCATACAATGCAATTTTGCTTTTTCTACATGTTACATTATACACACAGTATTAGAAGTAACAACTTAAAACATTGCGTAACAACGCTACAATTTATTCTCTCTTCTGACCTATCCTGGTCCTCTCATGTCTTAGCGATTTCTAAAAGAATATTTCGTCTGACTTTTCACATTACGAAGAAGTTAAGGCACTCAAGCATAACTCAACCACTCCTCTTACAGTTTATCAACTCGTGTATTTTACCTATTCCTCTTTACTGTTCACCCTTATTCTTTCCTGGATTGCTTAAAAAGGACTATGTCATACTTAGTAGAACTCTGAAGACTGTCAGTAGGACGAGTGGTATCCCATTGGGCCATATCGTTGGCATTGTCACTGATGGACACTTGATGTCATGCAACAGATTCGCTAGAGGAATTTTGTCAGACTCTGAGCACCCACACTACCAGCAGCTCCAACCTTGTGTCTCCTCCTCAGGTAGAACAAGAAGTCTTTTCAGAAGAATTTATGCACGTACGTCTAAGTATAAAAATTCCACTATACCATATTTCGCGGCACGTACTTTATGTGGAGAAAATAGTGTCAGGCATGAACTAACTAACCTTCTTAGCACCACTAAATAGACCATTTCCTTCTACCTTAAAGCATCATACTTTATTGTTATTGTATTTCTTATATTTATAATCCTCTCAATTTTTTCTTTTTGTTTATTTTTTTTCATAAGTGTGAACATAATTTTAAGCTGTATTATGACTGTTAATTTTGTATTTCCCCTCACTATACTATATCAACAGAACATTAGACCCAATAATCTGTAACATGTTAAAGTTTCCAAAATGAATCGACAATACCGTTTGAAACAAACTCACTGTTATTATTACTATTATTATTATATCTAATAATTATGTCGTGAATGTGGACAAATTCCTCCGATTAATTTTGTTTTAATTTTTTTAATTTCATATATATTTTGAGTAAATCAGATGCAATATTGTGACAAATACTGTGAATTCCATTCTGTATTATAAGTACCGTTTTTGGAATAAAGTAAATTATTATTATTGTTATTATTATTAAGAAATTCAAATTGTAAAATATACCAAACTGCTGAACTTTAAAAAACTTACGATGTCAAACCAAGCGATGGGAGTATCAAAATCATTAGAATCAGTAAGGTGAATGTTTTGGTCATAACAGTTAAATGTAGACATGATTTTGTCCAATGACCAACAATACGATCAGAATTGAAGACAATGTACGGTAATAAAGCAGACACTGACCAGAGGATAATTGACGGTATAAATTGATTCAGCAAAGGATTCTGTTAATAGAAGCAAAACACACACACATACAAGAGAACACTTAAAGGAGTAGATACCAAAAATGCATAATGCAAAATACCCACTACAGTCCTACAGGAGGTCAATCGCGAGCCCAAATAGCTCAGTGGTAACGTCTCTGACTGCAGCACTGGGTGACGCGGGTTCGAATCTCAGAAGGGACATGAATTCCTTCAAGGTTGCAGATACGCCTTGCTGATGAGTGCCAACTAGCACGAAACCTAGGTGCAAGGCTTCTTGTGGCCGATTGCCTCCAACTATCGAAAATGCATAACGCAATTTCACAGCTATGTAACCGACTGAATGACAAATCACCACCAGAGAGCATAATATATATTGATCACATTTTGAAAACATTACAAAAAGGGGAAAAGAATAGAGAAGAGAAGAAGAAGCAGGACACTACAACAGACGAATTTTTGAGTTTGTGCAAGTACAATTATATTTACATTAGTAAGAGTACTCGAAAAAAAAAATCTAAAATTCTCTGATCATCCGTACTACATATACGGTTAATTGCCTAAAAATAAATTCTACTACTGAGAAAGAAAAAGACTTCAGTATTTCATTTTTAGACGTCCTTATGACCAGAAAAGAGGACGGCACAATAAGAAGAAGTGTTTATAGAAAACCTACATCAACGGGCCAGTACACACATTTTCTCAGCTTTGTGCCCTTGAAATACAAACGCAATGTAATAAAGTGCTTGGAACACAGAGCAAGAGAGATTTGCTCGGATGAATGTCTCAACGAAGAACTTAAAAATATTAAACGGTTGCTAAGTGAGAATGGTTCTCCTGAAAAGTTTACTGATAAGAATATGAATCTGAAACCAAAACAGCCCAAGTTACCAACAGTTCCAAAAAAGGCCTTGTTCTTACAGATGCAGTTCCTAGGAGACAACACCAGTGAGATACTAGCACAGCGACTTAGAAATGTGGTAAAAAGAGCATTCCCTGCTGCTGAATTACGCTGTATCTTTAAAACCACTCCTCTTTTGCGTTCGGGAGTAAAAGACAAACTGCCTAATTTCGCCTCTTCCATGTGTATATACTAATTTAACTACTCCTGTGGAGCCAGTTACATAGGCCGTACAATTAGGCGTGTTTCTCGTCGAATTTCCGAACATCAACCTGCCTGGTTGAGCAAAGGACAAACAAAATATATTCGCAGTGCTATTCAATCCCACTCATCTTGTGGATACAGAACACAATATTGACGTTAATCATGCTTTCAGGGTCATTTACCGCATACCTACGAATCTCAATTTTGCTTTAAGCGTTCGACTACCAAATATTGCTGAGGATGTGGGGATCCATATTAACAAGCCTAATTTATGCATCCAAAAGAAGTTAGTTCAGACATAATCATTACCTTGACCATCCAGGTTTGAATAATCCAGAATTTTTTTAGAATTTCCCTAATTTCAGTTGATATTCTATTCGCTATGATATCTTTATTATTATTATTATTATTATTATTATTATTATTATAATTTAAGCATCTTTAATAAACTGTAATTGCACTGATCATACTTTACAAATCGATATTATTTTAAAAAAACACTAATATTGTTATTAACTACTAATTTAAAATATTCTGTGTATATAAACATATATATATATATATAATTGTAGAGCCTGGAAGAGGAATTTATCGATTATTTTGTGTTTTATAAAATCTAGACATCAGATACAGCAGATTCATAGACCTGAATTACTTGTGTTTGCGATGCAAAGAACACCAGGCTGAAATGTGTTGTTTACTATAAGAATAATTATGTTTTTCTCTTTCTCATATATTATAGAGACATAGTTATTTATCAGAGAATGTCATAGTACCTCTCGGTCGAACAAGTCAAATGTTACACACAGGTCAAGAGCCAGGGCAAGTGTTGCGCGCTGGCATGTAACCCTAGATTTTACAATCTCTCAAATGGAGAATATTTAACCAAGGAATTCATTGGCAGTATAGTAGAATGGTCACCATGCATGTGGGAAGTCCGGTCAGCGCACTCTTAAACGCTGACTAGCTTGGAAACAAGCAGTAAGCCAGGGGGGAGGTAGAGTTGAAAGTCAGGCTAGCAACCCTACCACGTTTAAAAACACAAAGCACCTGCAGGCTATAGTGAACGTTCAAAGCTTGAAGCCCTATGTTCCACTCGGAACACAAGAGATGGAAAGAACAGCTGGCATATACTTTCAGATTGAACAAAACTTTAGTTATTTGTTTGTAAAATCAAACAGTTCATTGATGCACATGAGAAATAATATTTGTTAATTATTACTTCTACTTTATGAATTTTGAAAAGGTCATCGACAGGCTTGGCTACGAAGTGATTTGGAAGCTGCTTCAACACTACGTAGTGCAGTACTCCAAACTTTTATCCGCCTCATTTAACACAACATGTCAAATGATTTGCAACGGAAAACCCGATGAAGCCATTCAAGCGAAGTCAGGTGAAAGACAAGGCTGCTTACGATTATTGATGATATGTGTTACGTATGCCTAGTCATCGCCTTCGTCGACAACAAGCAATGTTAGCTGATAAAGGGTCAGGTTGGAAAAGAACTAGCGGCGGTCAAACGGAAACATGGCACCAGTCAATGAAATCCACAACAGTTAGTCTAAGCCACGTAGGAAGGTGTAGACTTCCTGACTGGTTGGGGTCCTCGGGACGGTGAAAACCAATGGTTGGAAACAATTGGTGACATGGCTCAAAATGGTTCTCAATGGCTGGTGTAGATGCATCCACTCCTTGTGACTTATGATTTCCAATGAAACTGTTTTGTTCCTCGTTATTACTATTCCTTTGTCTCACACCTCTGTTTACTGACTATATTATGCATTTCTTCTACTTTCTTCTTTTGCTTTGTGTGCTACATGGTGTGTGGCGACTTGAACTGCCGCACATATGTGCAAAGTTCTATGTCGAAAACAGACAGACAGATAGATTGATGATACTCCTAAATGTGGTGGACTGAATCATACAATAGAGTGTACGGAACAAAAAGACAGAAATAAGTTGGACTGGTAAGAATAATCTAAAAGATTTGGACTTTTCAGACGATTTATGTGTTTAGTAGCACCATAGACAGGAGAAAACCAACGAACTCGAAGGAAAGGTAGTGAAGACAGGAGATCAAATGAACACAGTCGGTCGGTCGGTTTTCGACATAAAACTTTGCACATGTGTGCGGCAGTTCAAGTCGCCACACACCATGTAGCACACAAAGAAACAGAAGAAAGTAGAAGAAATGCATATTAGCGACAGTAAATTGAGGTGTGAGACAAAGGAATAGTAATAAAGAAGAACAATATAGTTTCATTTGAAATCATAAGTCACAAGGAGTGGATGCATCTACACCAGCCATCACCGAGAACGATTTTGAGCCATATCACCAATTGTTTCCAGCCATTGGTTTTCACCGTTCCGAGGACCCCAACTAGGAAGTCTAAACCTCCCTCCGTGGCTTAAACTCACTGTTGTGGATTTCATTGACTGGTGCCATGTTTTCGTTTGACCGCCGCTAGCTAACTCTTTTCCAGCCTGACCGTATGTCAGCTAACACTGCCCATTGGAGAGGAAGGCGATGACTAGGCATACGCAACACATGTCCTAACCATCTCAGTCGATGTAATTTCACAGTCTCGTCTATTGATTTCCCCTCCTTACCTAGCACTCAACGCCTAACCTGAATATTGCTCACCTTATCATACCACTTCACACGGGAGATAGAACGCAGACATCTATGATCGAAGACAGCTAATCTTCTCATGTCTTCCGCTCTCAATGGCTACCTCGACGTGGTGATCGGGCTTGCATATCGCAATGACCCAACGAGCTACACCGGCTGGAACTTATGTTCCTGTTGGTCCTACCATGCCAGAAAGGTTGTTTGGATAGCGGTTACACAAAGAGCAGCTACCCAATCCAATACTGTGATTCAAACAAACTCACAAAATATCACGCCGGGTCGGTCGGGGTCCGGATTAACAACAACCGCGCTTCCTGCAGAAGTGATAAATATGCTACTGAGACACACCAAATAAGAAAGAACAAACGAAAAAACTGAACACAGAGAATACAGGGGTGATGAAGGTACCTAACTAATAACTACGACAAACACCAACCAACCAGTAACAACGAGATCAATTCGAAGGAGGTCACTTCTTCCACTTACCTACGACGCAGCATCGTTTCAAGTACAAGCAATGGTATGGATGAAGATGTCAAAGCAAGCCAGGACCGAAAAGTCAAGACAAACCTTTATCACTCTGAAGTCAGTTTGGAAATCTGCTGCACTCATCACAAAGATCGAAATTCAGATTTTTCAGAACCAATGTTGAGTCAATTCTTCTACATAGAACAGAGATTTAGTGGGTCACGAAAAAGGCTTCTGAAAACTTTTATCAACAGCTGCCTTCATTGCATACTGAATGGTAAGCCAAACGGAACTAGCAACAAGGAACTCTGCAATTCACTGGACACAATAAGAACCTATCGGTTAACAGTACATGCAGAATAAAGTGGAGATGGATTGCACATACCCTGAGGAAACCGCTGAGTGACAGAGCCCTCAAGACCACAGCTTGAATGGGACCCGAATGAGACGTTCAGGGATGACATGGGATAGCGTGAGAAAGAGATGAAAGTGTTTGGGTATGTAGTGAACAGAACAGAATCGAGGTGTACTATTGAAGCCTTAGGATCCACTCGGAACGCACGGGAATGGTTATTATTGTTTCCTTTAGTTCCTAAAGGAACATAGGGCTTCATCCAAACGTGTCCATTGCGTTCGGTCCTCTGCAAACGTTTTCACCTGGCTCCACATCTGCCCATATGCTTTAATCTCCATTTCACATGAGCTCCTTCATCTCACCCTCGCACTGACGACCAACTCGCCGCTTCCCTTTCGGGTTCCACTCGACGGCCTGTCTAGTGATATCACTTGATGGTTTCCTCAAAGTATGACCAATC